TCAGAAAAGGCAGCGGGGTGCGCAGAAAAGAGCATAGGGAGGAGGTTTCGCTGTGGGGGAGAGAAGGTGGTGAGTGGTTAGGCTTTCAGAGAGAAGAGGAGCCCGCTTCTTGGAAATGCTCGGCTGTCTGGCTGGGTTCACTGGCTGCTGTGTCTCACCCTGCACAGCTGAGCACTCTCAGAGGAAGTGAGGGTGCTGCTGGCTGGTTCCTACTCAGGGCTAGGTGCTAACTTTCTGCTTGGCTTTTTCGTGGGATGCTGATTCTATTAATACAGGTCTTACTGCCTTCATGGAAGTGGTACTTCTATTGTTTGTACTTTTCATTTGAAGTTGGCAGAGAGTGGAAACCTGTTTCTTTCGGTTTACTTTCTAGGTAGATGCGCTTGATCTTGATGTAGCAGACTGGATTTCTTAACAAAGTGCACTCCAAAACCAGATGTTGCACGAATGTATACCCACTTAAACAGATGAATGACTATCAAATATACAGTAACGCTACTAATAATTTATTTTGCAGACCAGTTCATATTTTCTTACTGACAATGGCTTTGTGTTTGCCATTTTTACAAAAATAAAATGGAACACCAGTACCGCACTTAATTAATCGTGTCCTGTATGCTTCAGAAGAGTGACATTTAATTTCTGGGACTCATTGGAAGGTAGCTTAAAGCTACTGGTTTGCTTGACAGTGAAATAAATTAATGCCTATTCCAATTTGTGGGAGAGAAATGTTTTTCACTCCAGAACTGCATGAACTTGGAAAGACATCTTTGTCAAAACATAGCTCATAGAAATGCACAGCTATGCATTGATTGGTAGGCTAGAGAGCCATTGCAATCTAAACAACTAATCGAAGTACACTTTTTGAAGACCTTATTTTTCCATTCTCTTTACCTTCCCTGCTTTATTAAGGACTCTTTCTGATAGGTTCATGTTGGTGCTTCACACATGCCTAACAAAGGGTAAAAAGAGCTTTCTTACCATAATGACTATTTTTCTTCTGCTTCCTTGATTTAAAGAGTTATATAGTCTGGATGTAATTCTGCATTTGGCAGCTTAATTCTCTTGCCAGTGTCTTGTTGCGATAGATTTGGAGTAATGCGGTTGGATGGAGTCCCTTGTAAACTTGAACTTCTGAAACATCTAAAAGAGACAATGTAGCTAGATGTAGACTTAACTAAAGTAGTTGCCTGAAAAATTTCTAGTTAAGAAAATGTCTTCTTTGCCATCACTGAAAAATAGAATAATAAGTATGCTTTTGAAGTACATAATTCCCAATAATAACATATGGTTATCCATATTTGTTCACCAATTTCTTATTGTGAAATAAGATAGATGGAAAAATATAGTAGGTCTTGCAGAAGTTGGGTCTTATTTAACTGTCTTGCAGATTGTTTTGTTTATATGGGACATGATCTGACCTCTTTATTTTGAAAAGATTGCTGTCAAATTTAGTTGTATTAAGCTCTCTCAATTTGTACATTTCAGGACAAATTTCAACTATCTGAATTTGTACTTTAATAACAGAATTTAAGTATTGTGGTGTATTTTTTTAAAATAATGAGAAGTTAATGGCAGAAGTCGTACATCAAAACATTTGAATTGTTTAGCTGATGAATTAATGGAAGGTGAATTAGCAAGATTTGACTGTATAGGCTGATATTAAGAAATTACATGTTTTACAAGCTCTCTAAAAGTCTACCTAAGAGGCTGAGTAAACTCTGACTCAGTTTTACCGTACACATTTTATCTGTATTTGCATAAAATAATTTGGGCTGGATCATGACACAGTATGAGCTGAGACAATACTTGAGGTTTTGGTTTTTCCTTAGTTTTGTTTATTTTGTGGCTCGAGCATTTGGAATTTCACAAGACACGTAACTAAGACTGACACTAGATTTTCACGGGTAAACATGTTTGTGGCCAAGAAATAATGCTGTACAATGCAAATGACACAATGAGCTGATCTATCTAAAAAGAAAGGAAAAGCTAGGAATTTAATTTTACCAATATTCTGGTAATAGTGTTCTGAAATGTAAAAACATTAAGATGTTCTGGCTTTTGTTTTTGGACCGTCTTGTGCAATGTACTGAATCCAAGAAATTATACACTTACAAAATGTATTGGTCTTAAGTGTTTATTTTGCTTCTACTTCACGAGGAATATTTGCTCATGATCAATGAAAATGCCATGAACATTTTGTTAGATACTTGGAGAAGCTGGAGATCACCATGTAACAGAGAGTCATGCACAGCACAAGGTGAGAGAGTGAAGTATTTCATTTGACTTTCACATCCTTCACTGAAGTATAGTCCCCAAAAGCTTTGCTGTTAAACTTTTCTTTCTGGCCCATTGTACTTAGAACATAAAAGTAGGAATTTGGTCTAACACTGACTGAACTGGAGGGCAGTGGAACAAGCTGGAACTGCTCAAATCCAAAGGGAGGGGCTAGATGTCTAACTCCCATAGTTTAACCTGGAACTCCAAGCTTATCCATTTTTCCTGTTAAAAAGAGAGTCTGTTAAGTATTCTACCGTACTGAAGAATTCACACTTGGATAAATCAGGACCTGGAAGAAAATTTTCTGTTGTCATTTAATGCATCTGTGGAACTCTGACTTTCATTATAGAATGTTTTTGAACAGTTGCCTTTCAGACTTCATCTAAATTTTCGTGAGTGTACTAGAGCAGTGGCTAACAGAAAATAGCTTGCTGGGGGTCATTAGCACTTTTTGGAAGCCTGGAAGAATGCCTTCTTGGTGGTTAAGAAAGATCATGGAGTGCAAAGTGATATTTGATAATCCAGAAATTGGTTTAAGTTTGAAAATAAATTCAAGTATAAACATTAAACATTTATTGTAAGGAGTAAGTACAGAATGTGATACTGTAACATTGCATAATTGAGACAACATTTAACAGGTAAAGGTGGCTGGAATGTATTGTATCTTTTAAAATCAGAGTGAATCTTTTTAACATCAGAAAATTGGTTCATAGTTCTGGAAATACACTTGGTCTCACACCCAATGCTGAAAGTTATTTTGGCAGCCCTGATTTAGGTGAAGAGTCTAGAGATGCAACTGAAAATCAAGGGTCACTGAAAGATTTGGTCTGATTCCAAGGTCAGACACAATGGATGTATGCACAACAGTAACATATAAAAATAAGGTAGACAATCCTCTCTTTAAATAGGTTAATTCCTCTAGGATAGTTAGCTTATTTAATGTGTTATAAAGCTTTCTCCAATATTTTTGGTTGCATCTTGATGTTTCTTCCAGGTATTAAATATTTAGGACTTCACGCTGAAGGTCTCTCTTTATTCAAAGGCTCATCATCTGTGCCTTGCAAGTTAGCAAGCTGATTCCTGTAGACCATCCTGGTATTTCATCTGGCTCTTTATAAATTCTTGTCAGAACACTTGAACTTGAAAGTTTTTCTTTGCATCACTTCATGCCCACAGTTTTGGTCTCAGTGCTCAGTAAGGACAGTTTACAGCCATGGCGGTTCAGTACATGTTCTTTATAGAAAATATAAGATGCAGGATTTCTGAGAATGCCTTTTCAGACAAGTGAGCACATTTCTATGGTTAAAATGTGGTGAAGACTGGGTATTCTTTGAAAAAGGTAAGGGCAATCAGGTAGGCTAGCTAGTCCCAAGATCAGAGCTTCACCTTATCAAACACAGAATCTCTAGAGTCTTGCAATTTGTCGGGTTGGGCTGTACAGCTTTAAGTTGCTGAAGCTGTCAGTTAACAGTGCTTCTGTTAAACTTTCAGTCTTTTACCTGTAGGTGCAGAGTTGTTGGTTTTCTATCTTAAGCCTTCAGCAGATAAACTATAATCCAAGCAAGTGCTTCTGTACAATCTGCTGTTACTGTTCTGGCACAGTGTTGTGTGACACATTTGACTGATTGCTGATGGGTGATAGCTATGAGTCTATGCTACGCATGATTTGTCATGCTGGACACTCAGACTCTTACAAATTTCATGATTTTTGTATTGTAAAACCTAGTTTTCTGGCCTAATTTTCAGAAGATGTGTTTAAATTAATCAGAAACTGGGTTAATAATCTCTCACTAGTAGAATTATGGATAAAAATGAGTACTGTCAGTTATTTGCTGTGGCTTTCTATCTTCTGTCCTGTGGTGTGTATGGAGTGGCGAAGAGACATCCAGATCCTGTTGAAGACCCTAATTCTTCCAGGTCTCTAACAACCCCAACATAAGATGCTACATCTGGAATAATGGGTGCTATTTTTGGTCCCTCAGTACCAAGGACATATCAACAGACTGGAGAGAGTCCATCAGAAGTCCACTGTGACAGGTAGGGGCTGTAGCAGATCAGAAATGAAGAACTGGATTCTTTGAACCCAAAGAACAGACTAAGGTGAGGGAAGCTAATCACTGTTTTTAGCTACCTAAGGATGGAGCCAGGCTCTTCAGAAGTACACAGCAAAACCAAGAGACACAGTCATAAATTGCAGCAAGGAGAACTGTAGCTGGACATCAAAACTGGTGTTTTTACACAATAAAAGTGGTTAAATTGAGAACAGTTTGTCCAGAGGGGTTGAAAGTCTCCACTGACGGAGATTCTACAAAGCTTGTCTATGCAAGGCCTGGAGCAACCTGACCTAAGTTACATGCTGGCCCTGCTTCAAGCAGGGGGCTGGACCTCCAGAGATACCTTCCAACCCAGGTCATTCTGTATTAACTGCCTTTTAGCAGCTGTTGGTGAACATTTTGTGCTGCCTTTTTTTTTTTCTTTCAGTTTACAGTTGATTTTCTGAGCTCTCGATACTAGTGGAACATACTGGGAGAGGTGGTTTTAGGGTGTAGTTTTACAGTCATTAAAGCATTAAAGCTGCCTTCCTGCTCTTTCATTCCTGTGCTTGTCCCTGTACTGGCTCTGATGCTTGTCTGATACCTGGAGTGAGTTGATTTCAGGGTGCTAATCTTTCAGGAAATTAGATCAGCAAAAATTCCTCCCAGGTTATTGATTTAGAGGAGACTGAGAACCAGGAGTGAAATTTTGTGGTGGAGAAGGTGAAAGCACAGAGGTGCTGGTTTAGATCAGGTTAAACAGTTAATGGGGCTGCACAGCAGTAACTGACTTCAGAAATCATTGGTGTAGTTTTTAATGCTTAATTCATAGAGCTGTAATGGCTGTACACAGATTTTCTTTTGGATTCGTCTGTGTCGGGCCACCCCAAGAAAATGTTACTGCCTCCAAGCTATTCTGTAACTCATCTCTACCCTTCTGCTCAAAGCTGTGGCATCTGCTGATCTTCAGGGGAACCTTTTCTGACCTGTTTCATTCCAAATCTGCAGGGATAACTGAGACAGCTAAACCAGGTCACAGGGGCTGACGCTGGTCTGGATGAATCAGGCACACAGTCCTCATCTGGAGACTTGAGCAGGATAGTGATGGAAGAGACAGCACTTAGTATTGCCGTCTGTGCAACACATGTTTCTTTATAGTGGGTGCCTGTTGGATGGCTGCGTGGCTGGTGTAGACTTAAATTCACCTCTGTAATCCTAACCTTATCCTTTGAAGTTGACTTGGATCTTTTTTGGGGTTACAGAGTTGAACAAGTGATATAACATGTTTGATTCACTGTGGCTGTTTCGTATTCTGCAAAACTTCCTTCTGATATTCTGTTTTGTTCAGTGTTAAAGCAAACTGAACACTGGTCAGGCACTATCCATAATGTCTTGGCATTCCCTCATTGTGGTTAGAAATAATATTACCTTTTTTAATTCTCCAATAAAATTGTTCCTTCCACCTTATGCAGAAAGATAAAAGTAAATGTTCTTTATTAGACCAGCTGATACAGCTAGAGAGCTTAGACAAGGTTTTGAGTGCACAAACACTTCTTCAAGACTGAAGTAAAAGCAGAATAAATACAAGGTGAGAACAATTGCTTGAGAATCTTGGGCCATCTCTGGCAGATAGTGGTTAATATCTCTTGAGTGCAAAGTATATGGAGTGTGGGAAGAGAGGTTTAAATAATGATTATGCAATTAAACTCTGCCAAGGCACAATCCTAATCCTTGGAATATCCTTCCAATTTATCTAACTGATAGAATTCAGGACTGTCCTGAACTTATGGTTTAAAAGTGTATTTGATTCAATCACAAAGACTGATTGCTAAAAATGTCTTGCAGATATTCTAGATTTACCAGTCTGTCCCATGAAGCGAAGGTGTTTTGTCATACAGTTTTATAATCTTTTGGTCTTTCTGGATTTGTTCTGTCTTGGTGACTGTTTTACGCAGCAATATCTCTTGTCCACAAAATAATTTCAGTGATAACTGGCTTCTGTCCTCCTGTTTCTCCTCTTGAAAATGATGTGCTAGTTTTGTACATACTTTCCACAACATCCTCTATTTGTCATTTGTGTGTCATCTATCAAAGTGTAGTTTTTACAGATAGGATGGCAGTGTATGTTTGCCTGCTAAAATAATTGTGATATTACACTGAGTGGTTAAAAAATGGAATTCAGGATTACTGATTTTACTGTAAGAGCAGGGTTTATCTTTAACTTTTGAAAGCCAGATATCCAGTCTAAGCTAATGAACTAGGCAGCTCCAGAATATAATTCATTCTTCTATCTCAGACGCTTGTTGAATGAAATAAACCTCCGTGTGGGGAACTTTTTCTCTCTTCATTGTTTGCAGTGAAAATTTAGATAATAAACTTAGCTAGGTGCCAAACTTTTAGATGGTTGAAAATTCTCCCTGATTTAAATGCTCTTAATGTCTCTTGGACAGACACTTACAACTGCGGTTGTGCTTATATTTTTGTTTCAGATGGAGCCTACTAGAATTTCAAAAGAACATGCACACTGTGTCAGAACACTTTTTGGACATCAAGAAAACACAGATTTGCGTGATACATCCTTTGAAAATCAAGAGGCGAAGTTAATGGCAGAATCATGTAGAAGTGTGAAACAGGCTCTCCAAAGAGCTGTACAAAAGGTAAGTGGCAGACAGACTGTGCATTCCTTTATTTTGTGTGCTTGTTGAACTTACAACAATTTTTCCAACGTCAGTATTTGGAGGTAAGCTCTAGACAGTATTTGCTGGTATTCAAATAACACCTGAAGTTGCATTCAAGTTCATATTGTGCATGTGCTCATGAACCTGGTAGTGGTTAGCCAGTTCTGTATTCAAACACTTTCATTTGTCCTAGTATTTGTAAAGCTTTGCCAACACTTTGGATGTTAATAAAAAAGGACAGTTCCACCTTTTTTCAGAGCAATGTTTGCGACTCTATCTCTGACAAAATTCTCCCAAGTCAAGATCATCGCCAAACAAAATATTGCCTGAAAGACAGAGGAGAGAATATTTTCTCACTTGTTCTTGTTTCTTACTCTTTCTGCAACCTCAAATGAGGGATAGTATCTCCTTTTTCTGCTTACTGTGCCAGTTTTCTGTTCTGAGCAGGCCATTCCCACGCTGGCAGAGGAGCTACTTTACCCTAGTATGGTAACTGGGCAGTCTTTGCCTGGCAGTTGAGAATGACAGTTTATTCCCAAACACAAATAACAAAAGTAGTCAGCTAAAGAAGTCAGCCCTAGTGAAGAAGCCTAGGCAAGCTGGGTATCTCTCACAATCACCTCTTACTGCAGTTACTGCCTTTGATCTCTTTGCATGTTCATGATAGTATTTAGTGCTAATTATGGGCTATTCCAAAGCTGAATGTCTGCTATGGTATTTGGTTTTCCTGGCTTACTAGGTCCATTACTACTTCTACATGTCTGCATAAAACTGACAGTTTTTCATAAAGGATACTACATTAGATTTGAGCTGGACTCGTGTACACTTTAGAGAGGGAATTGTACTTGAGTTAATTATGTGGTACTTTAATTCTGCTAATGCTTGCTTTTAACAGAGCACCCTGAGTGACATGTCTTTTTTGTGAACAAAACTTAAAGAAACCTAGGAGTTAGTGTCTTGTCCCATTTGCTAGCCACCTCCTTGTAAAGCTTAAGAAAAAAAAAAGTTAACTCTGTAGGATTGATTCTATATTCCAGCATTTTATAGACCATCCCACACTACACCTCCTTCTGTGTTTTGTGTGCTGGTACTAGACTGCTCGTTCATGCAGCTCCCATGACAAAGTAAGGAGCTTGTTACAGTAAGTGAATGGGAGGCCCTGCATTCTGGTCATTCGCTTCTGGTTACTCAGCAAAAGCATTGGCTTTAGTTGAGGCTGCATATCCTGCATGGATATAGTTGGAGGTTAAATGCTGCAATGTCCGTGGCCAAGATAAGTAGTGAGTAGAGATAACTTTTTTGGCTGATGATCATTAGTTTGAGAACAATAAAATTTCTCTTGCCAGAGTAATCAGACTCTGAATTTCCTTTGAATGCAACAGAATGTATTAAGGAGCTGGATCAGGCTTCTGGATGATTTGTCATCATATATTGATGACACAGAGAAAAAATAGGAAAATGCTTCTCTGGGGCTACATTTGCATCTTTTTGATATCCCAGAGAAGTGAAAGAAACAGTGTTAAGGCAAAATTATACTTTATCATGTTCCGTAAGCTCTGCCTTTCATTGGCTCTGCAACAACGAAGGGCAGAGATGTAGCTGAATCTTATTTTCAGTTGTGCTAGTCCTTTATGTGTGGGAATGCAGATAATGTGACTTGAAAGAGGTTTCCTATCTTCTGTGCTTTCTTCACATTCCTGAAGGAGAATCTAACCTGTGTGTGTTTTAAGAACTAGTGTCCTTGTCTGAATTGGCAGTATGTTAAGTGACTGAAATGGAACACTCTAAAATACCGTTGAAGTTCTGTGATTTTTCAGTATTTTGTCTTTTGCAATTCAAACTCTTCAGGAAATGAAAATAGACAACTTGCTTTTGCTCAGGTTTATGGTCTGGTTACAGTTTGTAGCTTACTGCACTGGTTCTTATCTGTTTTCTTTGCACACCTGTAGACCTAATGCTTGAATTTAAAGCAGGGATTGACATTGAAAATGAAAGTGCTCATATGAAAACCAGTGCTATAGGGCTGCAGTGTCGGGTCTAGACATATTTATCTCCTGAAAAAAATAATAATTACAGATTTTCTTTTAACCAAAATCTAATGGTGGATTCCTTAACATATTCCAAGCTAAAAATACTGCTTAGGGAGCAGCTGACTCAGTAGAAAGCATATTTTCAATATGCCATATAAACTTTCAAGCAGAGAAATAATATACTTTCCTAGCCTGTCTGTTTGCTTAATTATTTTTTTTTAATGTAACCCTGAAAACCTTTTGGCAGTCCAGATGCACTAACCACAGTTCTTATGAAGTCTGTTATGAGCCTGAAGTAGAAAGGACTGCAAACATATCTTGGGTCAATTCATAAGTAACTTTTCTTGGCAATACTCCCAGCTTGTAGCAGCTTGGGCAGTTCAGGCATAAACTAGTCTCCCACATGGCAACAGAGTACTTTGCTAGATGTCCAAAGCAGCACTCATAAAGAGATCTGTATACTTAGCAGACATTTAAAGTTATGGGCGAAGTCAAGGTTTCACAGGTGATTGCTGTAAGCTGTTAAAATTTCACAATTTCCATCCTAAAACCTTACATGCCTTTTTAAAAATTTTTTTTCTTTTTATTTTTTTTTCCCTGCAAGCAATAGCCTACTCATTTGGATAGAGGGTGTAGTGCTGATCTCTAAAGTATCTTCTGATGAATATATGTACTTTCTATTTCACTTCCTTCCTGATTACTATTCTTCAAATAGCTGAATTTCCGGCAAGGTAATCAGATACTTCTTCCTGGTATTAGCTGGACTTAAAGCACTCAGAAGAAACAACTGCAAAAAGGAGTTTTAAGATCACAGCTGAAGCAATACATGAATATCCAGAGGGGTTCTCTTCTGATTGGTCTCAAAAGGCTACTTACAGCTGCTCAAAGTAGCCTTGTCTCTGTATCCTCAACATCGGACATTACTTTCCCAACTTATCAGACACTCAAAGCATGATTTTAGCTTTTAAAATGCGAGAGTTTTGCAGCTTCCCAATGGTGTCTTAAATGTTTTGGATGAAGGAAGACACATTTTTCATTTTTGTGACTGGCTGCTTGTCTGTTTAAACAGTGACTGCATGAAGGAGGTTGGGATGTGGGAAGCGGGCCAGCAGAGTTGACATGGTGGGCGGTAAGCAAATGACATGAAGGTGTACAAGTGCAGCTTATTATAAGACTAACGGTGGTGTGATTTTTGTGTACAGTTTTTCTAAAAACAACACAACAGCTTGGTAGCACATGTGGTTCTGTGGGTGGAAGTTGTAAGAGAAGTCACTGGTAACATTTTGTCAGCATTTCTCATGCCATTATAGCAGTGTCTTAGTGACAGGTTCTGTTGAGCTGTTTCTGCTTTCTTAATGGTAGTGTACATTGTGATTAGGTATGAGATGCCTAAAGACATTCAGGTGCTAAAGAATGCAGTTGATACTTTAAAGATTTGGAAAACTCTGTCTCTTAATTACTTGCAGTAAGGATACCAGGGGCTTTTTATAATCCCCCTAAGAGGCTATCTTTAGATATCTGGATATCCTCAGACATCCACTGAATAATGTCCTTGAGTCCTTCAGGGTCAGAAGCAAGTACATGCTAAAATGCATGGTAGGTTATGTATCAGCACCTTGGAACTGTAGAAACATGAAGTAAAAAAATCAAGAGAAGCGTTGAACTACTTATCTTTCAGGAGGAGACCCACAGCTCTCTCTCTATCTAGGGACTAGTTCATGTATTTCAGCTTCCGTTTGGAAGCCTGGGGAACAAAACAGAAAGGAATGTAAAAATTTAGTGGGGCTTGTCAGAATTAAGTAAAAAACTTGACACTAGTCCAGTGTTTGGAGAACTTGGCTAATGGGAGATTTCTGTTTTCTGGCCGTAGGATAGCCACTTCTAATCCAATGACAAGCACAGAGAAGAGTCAATGAACATGAGCCAGTCTCCAGCTCTTCTCAGTGTATTAGTGTTGGGTTCATGCTTATAATCTCCCTTTTGTTGTAATGACACTTGCATTCCTAATTGCATAGTAGTGTAGCTTCAAGAGAAGTACAGGAGAGCATTCGTGTCAGAGAGGGATGCTGCTAGGAAACAGGAAAGTAGGCTCAAGACTATCAGGACAAGGAGACTTGTGAACCCAAGACTTCTTGGGTAGCTGTTCTGCTTACCAGGTGATGACGTTGCAGATGAACAGCACCACCAACAGTTAGAAAGAAAGCATCTCAGACTGCATTTCATGAGGACCACAGCCTTTCTGCATGGAAGATGAGCTGAGTCAGGCTGCTAGATCTCAGAAGGTGACGCACCCAGCTGCTCAAGCTGGAGCTTCTTTGGGAATGTGCAGAAGCAGAACACTATACTCCTGAGAAAATGTTAGCTTAAGAGGAGGAGAGCAATTGGCCAGTTCAGGGACTTCAAGGGCTGTGCAGTTACCAACCATGGGATTTTTTTAGTACCAGTTTAGATAATGGGAGATTAAAATGTACACGGCTCTTTTTGAATCTGCCCAGTAGGCTCTCCATGCAAGTACATTATCACATCCCATAGAAGGAAAGGACACAAAAGCACACCTCACATTTAAGAAGTTTCCATTAAGAAAGCAAGAAAACAAAGGAATCTCTTCTTTCTAGGGAAAAGGTTGGGAGTAGTTGTGGTGCAGTAACCTCAGAGAGTGTGGTCGATCTCCCAGTCTCTTTTGCCTTATGTCCTACTCTCTTCAGAGGCTTTTGCCACTTTTTGCAGTATTTAGTACTTGCAAATTTTTTGTCATCTTCCTACTTCTGATGAAGTTAGAGAGTTCAAATGTCAGAAGAGGCTGATGCTAGTGTGCAGCTCCTAGAATTGAGCTGAATTTTCGTGCTCCTAGAGCTGACATTGAAGTAGGAAGATCAGAGAGGAGAAGTGAATCTAAATGGGGGAGGTGGACGTGAATTTTGCTTCTTCAGAAGTTGCGAATCTTCTGCTTTTCTGCTTGTCTCTACAGCAGAAAGCATCTTAATGATTCTTATCTACCAAATCAGCATATCTCTGCTGAAGTATTGTGCTTTGATAGTCATACTACAACTCCCATACTGCTGTGGCTTTTCATTTTGGTTTAACATTTAAACACCTACTGAAAGGGGAAAGTGAGAGTAATAAATGCACCAGCTAAGGCATTACAGATTTCACTGTGGCTGCAAAATTACATAAAAGCGGGACTTTAGGTGTTTTCAAAGCAGGATTTCAAATTCTAAAACACCACAGTGATTGAGAACACAGTGAAACATGCTGATGTGGCCAAATCTGAGGCGTATTGCATGTACATGGTGTTGAATCAGACAACTATAGCAATATGTGTGACATAAAGACAGAACAAAGGACCACTCAAGTTTCAAAGATGAGATACGATTTGCTATCTTCAGCAAAATGTTTCCTTTTAATAAACATCTTCTTGATAGCTCCATGATACAAGGTATTCTGAACAGCAAGTAGAATATTAACCCTGTTTTTCAGAAAACAGAGATCAAGAGAGTCATGGGGGAACAGGAGACAGAACTGAGGTTTGAACCTAATATTACCAAGACTCAGTCCAAGTTTGTAACAAGAACAGGCTGGTTAGATTTTTTGAAAACTGCTGTTTGTATCTTTTTTCAAGAGGAAAACAGAAGTGGATTATTAAAAGCAAGGCTTTTTGTGGTGCCTGATGTCTGTTATTTGTGCTGTTCTTGGTTTTGGGTAACATGGGCTTCATTCATGTTAAAATTTATCTGCAGTTTTGAAGAATGCATACTTCCAAGCCCTGGCACACATTTCATTTGGCCCCGTACAGATGTGGAAGATGCTTAATCCTTCAGATCCTTTATACCTTGTTAGAAGTGAGCCTTGTTTTTAAAGCCTTGTAGTCTTTCAACCTCCTCTGTTAGTGTGAGGGGTGGAGGTTTTCGTTTACCTTATCATTTACCTGATCACAAATGAAATTCAGAGCTTAGCTTTCCTTAGTTGTTAGTGTGATTACACACTAGTCCCTATGTAGAACTGCCTTTTTCATTGCCTTTTTGACCCCAAGTAATCAGTTCATAAACTCCATTGTTTTATGTGATGCATTCTTAGCAGTCATTGTTCCATTATACCTAGAGAAATATTCCAAGTGCAATAAGTAGGAAAGGTTGTAAGTGTCCTGTCACCACTGCTTCAATAAATAGTGAGTTATTTTACACACCATAATTTCTATCCACCTTTATCAGAAGCATTGGACAGAGGAAGTAATTTGATTGTGGGAGCTAAACCATATGTTCGTATTATACATCACGTAAGTATCAGAATATGTATCCCAGGCATCTGAATATGCTGTAGTTAGAACAACCCCCAGCTGTAGGTACACACAGAGTGTTGTAATTGTGCAAACTACCTGCAATATACAATATTACAAAAACAAAGCAATGGCTCTTTCTCATTTTAGGAAGTCCAGCGTGTCATGGAAAGAGCACCACCAAGACCAGAAAAAGGTAGGTGCTGGTTTATGAATAAGAAATATTTTAGTTCTATTAAACTTGTCTTTCTGAGGTAACATAACTCTTTTATCTCTAGCTGCAATGGAGGCATTACGAATGGATCTGTACAAGCGAAACAAACCTGAGAAGCAGCCTTTTGCCCATCTCATTATTGATGATAAGAATATTCCATCTGGTAAGTTCAGTTTTAAGTGAATCCTTCCAGTGCTACTATAAATGTATTAAACAGTGAAGTATATGAAAATAGTTCAGCAATACCAGCAACAGACTGAGGTTTCAGAAATAGCTTTTGATTATGAGAATAAATTGGATGCGTTGAAGGATTTCAGAGGCAGCAGGGGTAATGTTAACAGGAGGTTAGCTCCCCTTTGTCTCAGGTATCTTACATCAGTCTGTTATGTGTGAATGGCCTCCATTTCAAATGCCCAGTTTTCATGATGAAACTCTGAGAGCTTGGCCTGCCTCTTTGTGCTGTCTGTAGGTGAGGAATGAAGATATGCATTGAATGCTCACCTCTGAAGTTTCTTATTTCGTCTGGCTAGTAGGGCCCATCTGGAGTTCTTCCCTCACACTGGACATCAGCTATAGGTATATGTACACACAGACATATGCATAAGTACACACATATGTACAAGGATATACCAGCACAAAGATTGGCCAGAATCTAGATCTTGCAGGTTGGAAGATGTTTCCCTTCCATTGAGTCTAAGATTTTTTGTTTTTGTCCTGTTGTCAGATGAAGAGATGTGTTGTTTTCTGTAAAATTCAAGAATGTCGTATATCCACAGCAACACTCCTTTTGTGTGCTGAAGTGTAATCAGGTCTGTCCTGGGTGACGCAGCATTTCTCTTAGGGTGGATCTGGAAGCTGAGAGCATGTCAGGTGCCCATCAGTGTAAGAACTTGCCAAAAAGGAAGCACATCTTTGATTTTGAGGTGTTGAAAACCTAGGTGTTGAAAACCTAGCAGTCCCGAGGTCATTATTATAACCTGCCTGCTAGTTTCCTGCCCTATGCGGGTATGTTGCACTCTCATAGCGTAGGACTGAATTTATAGCAAGTGTTTCCTTCTGCTAACAGTTTTTTGAAAAGGTTTTGTCATGTTCCATTCATTATTAAGTTGCAGGGCTGATATAGACTTTTTCACATCAAGACTCCCAAGGGCCTTCCTGACGTTCAGACACGCCAAAGATTCACAAGGGTCTGTCTGCACCCCTCAGTTCAGTAGCAGGAAGACCAAAGATCATAGCATTGTACTCTGAGCAACAGGGTTTCCAGTCCATGTGTTGACTTGGATGCAGTATGTTTCTGAGCTATTGAGTAGGGGACAAAAATGTTCATGTGGCTTTTATCTGCCCTGTAGTAAGAGGATGGCATTCTTTTGTCTTGACAGAGCTCTTAATCTCTACCCACAGGTGTCTTTGGATGATTTGGGGAATATCCTTGCTAGTACAGTATGAGGGAACAAGACATGAGTGTGCCTTGGAGCACTCTCCAGAGGAAAATATTAATTCTTAAAATTTGAACATATCTTAGTACAGATTCCTTTTTTTGCTCTGGGGCACTGTCAGTAGAGATTTTTCTCTCTATATTCTCAACACAACAATCACCATTGGTGTGGTAGAAGTAAACTAGAGGTTATTCTGAAGCTATCAGACAGGAGCTCAAAATAGGAGGAGGCATTGATCACCACTGTCTGCTTCCTCTGAAGATGTATACATCTTGCAGTGCTGAAGTCCTGTTAATTAAGCTATGTGCATTGGTTTTCTGTTTTATATAACCAAACCAAATGGGAGTGCTGTGTTGAGGCTTGAAATCTGAGATTTCAGCAGCCTGCATAGTAATACCTTACTCTTGTTCTATTTAAAGACAAATCAGTTCTGTACACAAGGGGTTAGCATCTTGCCTGGAGGGATAGGATTCTTTCTCCATTCAAGTGCATTGGCATTGCCAAGATCCAGAGCTTTATAAGCAGAGCTTAAGCAGCTTGTCAGATGGCAGTCAGAACTTCTACAAGCTTTCTTATTAGCTCAATGCCTCCTGACGAGCTTCTGTTTCAGTCAGATTTTGGCTTTTGACATAGGCCAATAGTAGAAGGTGCAGTATCAGTAAACTTGTATTAGCATTTTCTCTTTGGAAGGATTCAGTTAATTTGCTAATCACAGAATCATAAACATAGAGACAGAATCTCTAATCACAGAGACAGATCACTTGTATCTACAGAAGTGGAGTGTGTCAGTGTCACACTTTGTGAAATCCACCTTTTCCTGTGGGGAATTTATTTGCTGTCTATCTGGATGTTGCTGTAAACTGTTTTTTTATTACAGCTAGCAGCTGATAATTTTTACTGTTGCGCATCACTGCATTAACCTTCTAGAGAGTGATGTAGCAGGTCTGTAGGTAATGGCAAGGGAGGCATTGCTCTTGCTTGCTCTCTTCACTTTTTTTAATAGCACAGCCTATAGGAACTCTCAGAAATACAGTGCCTGTGAAAACAAGCTGCTTAGTTTCTTCTTGGAGCAGATCAACCCCTTCCCAATGTGATGCACTGGACATACTCCCTCCTGATCTGGCACATATGGCTTCTGCCTCCTTTGGGAGAGCATTGCCAGGATGTTACTCATGAGCAGAGCTTCTGCAGTCCTTGTGGACATTGCAGCAGTGAGGGGCTGCATCCTTATAGATAGCTGGAACCCTGAACCTACTGGTTGCGAGGTACTTTTGTATCATGCTCACTGGCATGAGGCAGTACCCACTTGGCTGGGTGGCATAGAGGTTAATGACTGGCAAAAAGGATGAAGAATTTGCCAGAGGGTCACCAGGAGTTTTTCTCTCCCATACGGTTTCCTCTGACTGCAAATGGCAGTTCTGTTTTCTTCCTGCTTCCTTACCCTACATGTCTGAAATCCTTCTAAATTGTTTTATGCTGTGAGTCTGGAAAGATCTGTTCTTAGTATTTTAAGGTTCTCTACTGTCATCACTCTGGCCCAAAATAATTGTCAGGAAAAAAAAAAAAATCAGTCTTCATCACTGTCAAACAGGATTTTATTTTAAGTAGTTTGCCACGGAACACCCTTCATGAAGGGGCACTGAGCAGTGTCTGTGAGGAAACATTTTCCTTTTACCTGGTTCACAATAATATCAAGCTCCAAATGGACTTTTGCAGCTGGGGGTAGTGCGAAGGAGGGGGAAAATAACCCTTCCCTGGTCTTGGTGTCCCCACCCATTATTTGACTGCAGAAGCTGTCGTGGTTTTTGGCTTGCTGTGTGCATTTTTTCGTTTCGGTACCTTAGGTTAAAGCTGGTTGCTTGCTGGTTGTTTTTTGCCAGAGCTCACTATAAATGCTACGTAGGTTTTAAATTAAAACAGTTAATTTTAGTTTATAAATTGATTACAGAAATTAGTCCCAGTTTAAAGGAGAGAATCACAAACAGAAATAAATATAAATGTTAAATATATAATTTGGGATGTGAATTGATACTTTTTAGCTGTCTAAGGAAGTGCTGTAGTATTCTGAGCTATTTACAGCTACAGGTTCAGCTTAGCTGCCTTTTGCCTCCAAAACAGTTTTTCAGAGCAAACAGTGCTCCTTCAGGTCCTTCCCACAGGCTTTATTTATACTGGGAAGCAAATCAATTATCAATACAGGGCTACTTTCTTCTCTGTTCCCCTGTCATCATCTTCCTTCTTACTAATTAATTTTGTTGAAACTTGTTTGTGTTAGTCTAAGTTCATGCTCACAAATATCCAAGACATTGTTTTGATTTGTATTCAGTTACCAGAAAGACTGTGCATTATCTTGACTTTTTTTATAATGCTTTTTATCATGTCTGGAAGGTTATCTTACTTGTTATCTCTTTGACTTCTTCCTTCTCTGTCAACATGACTTACCTTGTGCTATTTTTTTCATGGCTCCATAGTAAATTTTATCACAGAAGATATTGTATTGCAGCACTTCTGACTGTCCCATGGCTTGGGTTATGTTTCAGAGTTTCTTATGTATGATGTGGCACTTGTATGCTCCAGTTTTCTCCTCTGCCTGTGTTTTGGGGTATGGATTGTTTTGGTGTCTCCACATTTGGGTGCATTACCACCAGAAGTGCTGAGAGCCTACTCGCTCCTTCCATTAAAGGTTACATGGCGTAACTCCTACCAGTGCATCTTTCGCTGTGCTGCTGGAGGTGGCATGCCTCTTCTGAAGCTCTGAATAGTGGCAAAATGCCCATCCACCTCAGTTAATACAATCATAGCATTATAATTTAGGTTGGAAGGGACTTCCAGAAGTTATCTAGACTAATCCCCTGCTCAAAACAGATAGGGTCACTCTTCTGTCATCTCTTGGCCTGTCCCTCCACCTGAACATGGATGCATGCTGCCTATTCCCCTCAACACCAAAACAGTGTTAACAAACTTCACCCAGACCCTCTCTCAGCATCTCAATTACAAGCAGCTGTGGCACCTAATTTCTCTCTTCCCCCTTCTTCAGCAGAGAATCATGCATTTCTACTAAGGATTTCTTCAAAACTGACACTTGATTAAGATTGACAACTAAAAAGTTTACTTGCCAGGTAAATAAAATCTGCGTAGCAACTGTCCAGTGTGCCACCAGTCAGTCACAGCATACCAGCATGCCTTTCTGGTCCATCATATGTATACATTCCTGTCCTATATCTCTGATGTGCCTTTTCTCTGATCCAAGAAGTGATTTCTTGCCTATCCTCCTCATCTTGAAGGTAGCCCAACTTCCTTGAGGCAGTACTTCTGACAGACTTAACACTGTGCACAAGAAGTTCTACAACTTCCTCAGTTATCCCTAGTGCTTCAGAGGTGTCCTGTGCTACCCCTATCTCAGCATCTCTTGCAGGTGAATAATTTCAGGCTAAAAGACTTAAGATCTTAGTGTCACTTCCAATTAATTGATAGTTTTCAGAAGTATTGTTGAGGCACTGCACAGCAGACAGATGATTTTGCTTGTGTAATTTCTGCTTGGCTGTACTGGAGCCATTGGGGAGCAACTATTTATGATCTGCCTTTGACAGCCTGTTCTTTGCTCAAATCTTTGTGGAAGAAAGCCAGAATCTTTTTGTTCTGGGCTACTGTTAGAGTATTCCTCTCACATGCAGAAGTTTCATGCCCTTGGCAGTTAGGAAAGACTCATAGCTCTCAAATTCCCCTGTCCCTTCTTCCCCTCACATCTTTCTGCACAAACAAATCCAGGAACTAACTAATACCTGGGGCTTTTCCCTAGCACGCTTGCGAGCACTGGTGGTTCTGGGCCATGCCTTGATACCTTCTTGGATGAGAGGGCACTGGGCCCTGCCATATGCCATGGAAATTTTGGTTAGATTGTTTGATGTTGGGAAAATAAGGTACTGAATATTCCAAGCAGGCATTTAGGTGCACCGGGAGCCCAAGGTATAAAGTCTTTTGGTGCCTGTATGAACGCACTGCTGTGAGTGCCTCAGAGGGACCAAATGGAGTTAGTGCTGAAAATTGCTAGTGGTTAGGAGGACAAGTTGGCCAACTGTCATCTGTTGTATTGTGCCCTGTATCTTACACTGAATCAATGGTAGAGTGTTAGTGGCTTGTGTGTATCAGGAAGGGTCAAGGCCTGTGTGGCTTTCTCAGGACAGTTCTATTTCCTCTGTGGACATGCCTGTGGGCCTTGGCTAGATCTTCTCCTCACACTGTTGCTTATTCCTCTGTTTTTGCAAGCAGAGGCTGTGAGATGAGGTGGGTGCTGTAGTGGGATGGTGATGAAGATGGAGAAGTGGAAGGGACTATGGGATGTGTGCTGCAGGGCATGCTCCTCAACAGAAAATACTGTGATAAACCTATACATAGTACATGTGCTGCAGCAGCAATGCTATGGGGGCTGGTGTTGCAGGCTGCTTCTTAGCACTGTGCCACCAAAACCAAACTGAAGTGTCAAGTATGACCGGGTTTGGAAGGAAGACTCAAGTGCTCTCTCTCAGTGCCCATCTGACCTCCTGCCAGGTAATCTCTTAGCAGAGCCTCAATAGTAGAGTCATAGAATATCTCAAGTTGGAAGGGACCCATAAGGATCATCGAGTCTAACTCCCTGCTCCTCACAGGACTCCAAAAACTAAACCATATGACTAAGAGTGTTGTCCAGATGCTCCTTGAACTCTCATGGGCTTGGTGTCGTAACCACTTTCCTAGGGTTCTGGTGACTGACCACCCTCACAATGAAGAACCTTTTCCTAATATCCAGGCTCTGCATGAAAGGACATCTGAAATTTAACCAGCTTGAAAATTCCAAGAGATGATACGATGTGGATACTTGGTGATAACATCCAGGAGGTGCCTTTTGAGCCAGAGTTCCTGGGGTACATTTGTACCTGTATATGTGAAGTTAGCTTTCAGTGATGGTGATGAGCTGACAAACTAATCAAAACATCTCCAATCTCTCAGCTCCTTTTTATTCTCTTCACAAACCATTCAGTCACCTTAACAGATAAGGGACAGCTTCCTGTTTACCAGGCCACCATCATGCAGGCAGAGCTGAAAACGCTTACGTATACCTGTTAGAAAAAATTCAGTAGTGCTTGTTTACGTGTGTTAATTCTATTAATCTGTCCTTTTTGATAGTCAGACTTGGTAACTGTTATATGTGTATTTTGATTCCCACATGTATGATGTTCTATGGAGAGACAGAGAGAATATTACCATAATTTTCGTTCCTAATTTGTGGATCTTGAGCTTAAGACACTTGAAGGGAACAGTTCTCCTTCAAGCATGAAATATCAGCTCATTGTTTCTAGTTTGAAACTTCAGATACTTTAAAATAAATAAATAAAAATAAGAAGAGAAGAGGAGAAAAGAGAGGAGAGAAGAGGAGAAAAGAGAGGAGAGAAGAGGAGAAAAGAGAGGAGAGAAGAGGAGAAAAGACATGAGAGAGGAGAGGAAAGAGAGGAGAGAGGAGAAAAGAGAGGAGAGAGGAGAGGAAAGAGAAAAGAAAGAAAAGAAAAGAAAAGAAAAGAAAAGAAAAGAAAAGAAAAGAAAAGAAAAGAAAAGAAAAGAAGCAATGGATCGAGAAACACATCTGTCTTCCTAAAGCTCTTTTTCCGAGACCTTTTGTTATATATTAGACAAAGAATCAGAGTTTACTTCCCGAATAGCTGTAATTGCCCAGCTACAAGTATTTGTACAATTATCAAAGAATTAGGATTGTACCGTGGGCCACTATCCTAGATATCTAGGATATGACTAAACGAGATTGTGAAGCCTTATTCTGGTATATGCAAGCACTAGGTTAAGTCTAAACATCGTTTTTGCATAAAAAAGTTTGTCACAAATACTTGAAGTGCTATTTGCTGTTCTCAATTGCAAATATGTTTACTTTTGTACCACTACATGCACAAGAACATAAAATATGGGAAGATTTTTCATAAGCTTTTTCTTTAGGGAATTGTCAGTTTAACTTGTTTTCAGATTTTGTTTAGTTATTCCTTGCAAACACATACAGGTTAAAGACTGATAAAAAAATTTTGTTTTTTTCATTAGTAGATCTTCTTTTCAAATTCCTCTCCAGCATTTGTTATTTGAATAGAGTTTTAGGTGAAATGCAATTTATATACAGAGCTTGTTACATGATTGCTTAGCGTAATGAAACTATTGGCCAAGTAAATGTTTTGTACCATAGTCCAGCAGCTGTTCTGGTGGGGGGACAGTTACAAATAGCAAGCCAAATATGGCAGTACATGATACCAATTTTTATCATAATTCTCTAATATTAACTTTAGCCTGCATAACTGTAGTTGCTATTGATTCTAAAAACCCAGTGATTACTTTCTAAATGTTTTGTTAAATGTTTATTATAAATATATTTTTTTCCCCTTCTCTTCAGGAACTCGCAAAGTGAACCTGACATCCTGGCATCATGACAAAGGCCAGGCAAACTTATCAAATATGACATTCCATGATGGAAGGCTAATTGTTGATCAAGATGGATTTTACTACCTTTATGCCAACATTTGTTTTAGACATCATGAAACTTCAGGAAACCTGACTAAAAGAGGGCTTCAGCTGATGGTGTATATGATTAAGACAAACCTTAAAATAAGGCGCTCTGATGTGTTGATGAAGGGAGGAAGCACCAAATACTGGTCAGGGAATTCAGAATTTCATTTTTATTCTGTCAATGTAGGAGGGTTTTTTAAATTAAAATCTGGTGAAATTATAAGTATCCAGGTATCAAACCCATTGCTACTGGATTCATCACAAGAAGCAACTTATTTTGGGGCATTTAAAGTAAGGGATTTAGACTGAATATTTCTTTAGCGTGCTGAAAATTGTTTGGGTTTTTAGTGGTCCAGACACAACCTGAAGACAGAACTGAAAATCTTTTGCAACCCAGTTTCATCTGTATAAGCCATATATCTCTAAAGACACATTTTTGCCCTGTGCTGATTCCAGCAGCAGTCTCACAAATGCACAGAAGGGCAAAATTACATAGTTCTTCTGATTCAGTCTTATAGCAGTTTTACTTCATATGTCTCCACTGGCTTCAGCAGAGTCATTATGCATTTTACATTGCTGTAGCTGAAATCAGAGCAATTAATATTACTGACCTTCTGTTTCCAAGTTCTGCCCTGACTTTTTAATCTGTGCTACTCTTACTAGTTTTGGCACAAACATCGGGCAGGACAGAACTCGGCTCCCAACTTGCATTTAGGGCTCAATTTTGCTTGAGTGTTCTGACCCTGAGATGGCAAAGATTGTGAAAGTATGACTAATCCCATTGCATTTGATGTGGCTTTTCACATGCTTAGTTAAACCTGTTCTTGCTTTGCTGGATTAGGGTTGGGAGAGCTCAGGCCGTGGCAGAAATGAATTGTAGAACACCTAAACGGTTCAACTTAAGTTTTTACTTGATTAAAAGGGCTATTCCAGGAAGAAGGGAGAACATCTGGCCTTGCAGCTCTATAAGGTTAATTACAGGTCATTTTTATAATTGTTGCATGGTTAATTGCAAATATAGATTACCAAAATACGATGTGCCTTTAAAGTATCACATTGTGCCAGAACCTGCAAAGACATTTTTTAGACAAAAAGTATGTATTTTTATATTCTTTAATATCTAAATTTATATTTCAGGTGTAATGTTTTGTGTAAAAAAAAATGTAAATTATGTTGTCCTATAGTATTTGATACAAAATATTTAAATCTCTTGCTGTTTGTATATTTAATGTTTTAAACTGTTTTTTATGTACAGACATGTTAAACTAGTGCACTTTTTAATCCCAATGGGAAAAATTGCAGCTAAAAGAGGTTGTTTGCAATTAGCAAATGTAATATATAAGTTTGTTCTTTTTAACTTAATAGATTTCTGTTAAACTTGTCAGTATTATTGGGAGGGGGGTAATCACACCAATGTCACGAATAATTGCACCAGAATGCTGGTCACTGGGTGCCTTTTAAACCTGGAGGGTAATTGACATTGCAAAGCTGGAATTACCTAAAAATAAATAAATACATACATAATAAGCCACAGAAATGTATTGGGGGTATTTATAATTACTGAACAGGCATATTTTCCTACAACAAAATTTGCAAGTTGTAAATTCTGCAATTGAGTAATGACTTTTTTAGCTTAGTTTCCTGAAAAATTGAAGCTCATGTCATTGCATTGCCTGTCCTTGTCTCCCCTTCTGGCTTTTAAAACTGCACGCTTCTGCCAGATTTGGCAGATGAATGGCAACGTTAAGAGATATTCTTTCAGGTTTTATGAGAACAGACAGCTGAGAACAACTCAGCCATTATGCATTATTTGACAGTGGCTGGCCACTGTTTATATTAGCCAACAAAATAATATGGAGAGACTCCTAGCTAGCTGCAACATGTGTTGTCACTTGTATAGTTGCTTGGCCAAAAAAGATAGGTGAATGGAATCTGAGGGTGGGTATGGGGGACATAGAAGGGAGCTGCAAATACTATGGGTGATGTTTAGAGCACATCTGGGCAGGGAACAGCAACTTGTCGGGGAAGGGATGAGGGAGGTTTTAGGAGTGTTTGTCTGGGAGGTCTAAGGATGATGTGGGCAAAACCTGCTCTCTAATGTAGTATGAATCATAGAAGGCAAAAGTCACAAATCTGTAGGAATTGAGGCTTCATGAAAATCCTCAGGCTTTTTTCTTATAAGGAACTGAGTTGAATTCAAGCAATTATTTTATACTGTGTAATAAACATTTCTTTTTAATGTTAATATTGTTTTCTTACAAAATACATTTCTAAGAAAAAAAGATCAACTTTGTGATTTCTTTATTTTCCTGTGTCCCTGTATTTCTTGTGCAGCTTTGATCATTTTGTTCAAATTTCAGAACATGCAGGCTGGGTATAGTGTAACTCATTCAAGAGAACAGAGTCAGAAATTGGCTATTTTGAGATAATTACAATGAATTTTATGGAGTCTGGATTTGGCTCCAAACATGCGTCCACCACTTTCAAGTAGGGTTACATCACCAGGTGTTGGAAATTTGTCTGGAAGTAAGGCATTCCAGTGTCTTTTACACCAAACAGTTGTCAGTTCAAAACCACAGATGACTCAAGAATCTGGGGATTTTCTTTCAAATTTTCAAAAGCTACAGGTGCTAAAGAATATTATTTTTTTTCCACTATAGAGATGTCCACTGGCAGGCTGGGAGAAAAATGTCTACTGGATCACAGAATCACACAGAATCACAGAATGTTAGAGATTGGAAGGGACCTCGAAAGATCATCTAGTCCAATCCCCCTGCCGGAGCAGGAACACCTAGATCAGATCACACAGGAACGCATCCAGGCGGGCTTTGAATGTCTCCAGAGAAGGAGACTCCACAACCTCTCTGGGCAGCCTGTTCCAGTGCTCTGTCACCCTCACCGTGAAGAAGTTTTTTCTCATATTCAAGTGGAACCTCCTATGTTCCAGCTTGAACCCATTGCCCCTTGTCCTATCACTGGATGTCACAGAGAAGAGCCTGGCTCCATCCTCCTGACACTCACCCTTTACATATTTTTAAACATTGATGAGGTCACCCCTCAGTCTCCTCTTTTCCAGGCTAAAGAGACCCAGCTCCCTCAGCCTTTCCTCATAAGGGAGATGCTCCATTCCCTTCATCATTTTTGTGGTTCTGCGCTGGATGTGTCTGTTCTGGGGGGTTACGTAACCATCCGGGGAAGCAGAGATGGGGGTTCAAATGATTTGAAAGTTGAATTAAACTTGGTGCATAGTAGTTGACCTTAGCAAATGCTCTTCCTACTTATGGTATTATGTGAAGGAGGGAAACCACAAGGACCAAATGTCATCTGAATGACAGTGGCTGTGCACTACAAGTGTGTGCTAGATAAGGTCACAGCACCTGTAGCATGTGTTGAGTCCTGTGAAGACATTTGGTTACCCGTGCATCCTAAGCCACCAGATGTTAGAAGAGGGCTTCTGAGGCTCAGCTTTGTAGCAATCGGTGCTTATTAGGGCTAGAGGCATCTGAATCTCATAATGCAATATGGGGCTTTGAATTTCCCTTTGCGTGACATCCTCAAAGTGATTATTTTGGGGCCTAGGTGATTTTTGCTGTGCTTTTTCGTGGTTTTGTTTGGGGTTTTTTTGTTTGTTTTTGTTGTTGTTTTTTTCTTATCATCCTCTGGATGCAAATTGTCCAACTATTTGATGAACTGGGGGGAGGGATGTGGTAAAATAGTCCTCATGGAGCTATGTAGGCTACCCTGGGGGTTAGAATTGGGAGTCACGCTCTGGCTATTCTCTCTACAATATAGAAAGCAAATAGGAGGTCTTGTTGTGCGTGTCTTGTCCTGGCCCTTGTCCCTTCTCACCCTGATGTGTTTAAAAGGAAGCAGGAAGCTCCACGTAGAGCTGTTAGTACGGTTTGATTTTGCTCTATCAAGAGCAGCCACAGGTTGAAAAGCTTTAGTAGTGTCATTTGAGGCAGCCTGGGCATGTATGCCAGGATGATAAAGTAAAACCACCTGCGCTAGCACTGACCTTCCTAAAACCAAGTCTTCCCCCAGAAGTGTCTGTTCTTTTCTTTCTGCTTCATTTATTTGATTGCTTCATTGGGACACAGTTAATGAACATAGTGGACTAAGCAGCTACTGAAAAGGGTTACCTTGAGAAGAAGGTACAGCTTTCTTGGCTAAGAAAGGTACATGTGGCTTTTATTTTATAATCTTTAAAACGTAATTTTGGTCTGTGGATAGAGGACGATTATTTACTAAAATGTGAAGTCAAAAAAATCTTAACTTGGAAATAGTCTATTTGGAATTCAGTGTATTTGCGTGCATGTAAACATCCGTGTATTCTTACTGTGTTCTTGCTAAAAAAGTAAATTTTTCATACATGAGGTTGCGATTGCATGTTTTGGCACCTGGGTGCTCCCCCCCTCTCCCTCCCCCTGCCTTCCCAAGCTCTTTCCAGCCAGTGAGTGTTTCTTTTTCTGTCTATCCCACTTCCTTTTCTCTGGCTCCTTCCAGCTGCCAGTGTCTCCTGCTCACCCCGCTCTCACTGGCTTACAGCTCTTTTTCCTGGTGGCAGCAACAGCCTTGGGTCAGATCTAGGTATACTTCCCCTTATTTGGCCCATATTCAGGCGGCTTTACCGCAGAACAAGAATTTTGTTTGTCAAAAAGATTTTTGAAGTGGTTGATGCAAGCGCTGAGCTGGATAGGAACGAAGGAAAGTAGCTGGGGAATAAAAAACCAGCAGATCGGACATACGAAGCGTTCTATACTGCTCTTTGGTTTGATGAACCAGCTTCAGATGGCTCCAAACAATTATTGCATGCTTATGCTTTTGCCGTTACAAAATTAGTCTCCAGGAAAACTTCACAAACATGACCATATGCAGCATTTTACTGCAGTGATTTGAGAAAGCTCACAACTAAACCAGAAATTGTTACACATATATGCAAGCAATTTCTTGTTCCTTCTCCCTCTCTGTATTGGTGTCTTGTCCAGTATTTCCTGGTTGCTGGTATTTGGAATCACAACCTGGGGACTTTGCCAACTCTTGGGTTTGGTTTTTTTTAACTCACTGGGGCCTGACCACATAGATCCCACACCTTTGCCTAATGTTCTCATTTGTGACTAGCCCCAAAGCAGAGCTTGGTCATGAAAAGCTGAGCAACCCATGTCAGCTGGAGGTTGTTTAAATCAGGTTTCACAAATTTCTAGGCAACTTCAGGTGTTTATTTTTTCTGCTTTTTTGAGCCTTAAGGCTGAATGTGCTGGGGTTTCTAGCTGTGTTTCCAAGGAAATGTTTGTGCCAGGGTGGAGGTG